GTGTGTGTGTGTGTGTGTGTGTGTGTGTGTGTGTGTGTGTGTGTGTGCGTGTGTACCTGTGTGTGTGCGTGCGTGTGTATCTGTGTGTGCGCGGTGTGCGTGTGCGTGTGTGTGCTATTTCCTCTACCTCTCTGGAGCAGCACTGACACAGCCGTCAGCTGCTTTGCTGACCTGCAGCTCGTGGGTGTCCTGCCTCCTACCTGACCTTTTCTACTGTGTGTTACAGCTTGGCTGAGTCTGACGGTCCCGTCCTGAGGCCCACAGATTCCTTGCTTGCCTGTGGATCTCTTGAAGCTGTTCTCCATCTCAGTTGTAGTTTGTTGTGGGTTTTGTTTTGCCTGTTACTGTTGTTTTATTTCTATATTTTTCCTTTTGAGACTTTACTTATTCTCTCCTCTAAAATCAGATACCAAACCCTTTCTTTTCTATAAGTTTATATCATCAATCAGTAATTTACTCTTAATGCCCAATAATTTCAACACCTCCATTATATCTAAGTTGGTACTTCTTGTGGTTTCAGTCACGCACTGGGGATTTTGGGGTACAGATAAAAGAGAGTGAGCTGCCCGTGGTGTAATGCTGGGAAGTAATGGAAGTAGCATGCACACATGTAGTGGTGCTGTCTATTTAGAGAAATAGCCCCTTGATCATTGTCTCGAGTACCATGGCTTTCATAAAACAGGTCAGGCAAGAGATAACAAAGTGGTGTCTTTAAAGACTGAAGGAAAATCTGCCAGTCTCAAATTCTGTATCTACTACAAAAGCCCCACAACGTACAGGAAACATACAGACTTGTCGAACAAAACAAAATAGCTTCATGATGCACACCCGTCGTCATGACTGCACACCCATCTTAGTCCTGCTCTTTCGGCTCTGTGCCTTGCCAACACGTGCGAGTGCCCATGACCTCTCCGGTGCAGGCTTCCTGCTGAAAGTCAGTCTTTGTTCTTCTAACACAAGAAAGACTCGGGGAAATCACTTCATTCCCGGAAACAGGCGCATTCTGTTTGTCTTCAGTGTGCATGTTGGAATCTGTCAGGACACATGAGGGAGGTCACCCCCTCCCAGGAAACAGAGACATAGTACTTGAATAAGACCCCTGTTTAAGCACAGTACCAGAGAACACTGTCCTCATCGCACCCCAACTTTGTGAACCTGAGCTTTGCACCTTCACTCCTGCTCCTCAGTGGAGAGAAGGGCGGAGAACACTTCCAGGGAATGTATTTCCGTCATATGCAGGGGGAGGGTTAGGGTGTACCTGTGTACTCAGGCTTATAAACATCAAAGGTCATTGTTGTGTCTTCCTCAGTCACTCAGCACTTTGGCTTTGGAGACATGGTCTACTGCAGAACCTGGAGCTTGTTGATTTGGTTCAGTTACCATCCAGCAAGCCCCAGGGACATCCTCCTGTCTGTCTCCCCAGCACTGGGATTACAGACGTATATGCCTACACCCAACCTTTACATAGGTGCTGGGAATTAAACCCCTTGGCATGGCCATTCCTCCAGCCCCTCACACAGCTGTGTGTGTGTCTGTGTGTGTGTGTCTGTGTGTCTGTGTGAGTGAGTGTGTGTGAACACCATGCTCACTCGGTCCTGTAGACAGGAGCTTATTGGATTCCTTCTCTTCCCTGGAGGAAGGGTCTGCACAGCTTCACTGGCTTGCATCCTTTTTTCATGAGTGCAACCCTTTTAGCTAAGTTCTTCCTGCTTGGGTCTGAGTCAGCCCCTCCTAGCTGTCTTCCCTTGGAAGCCTCTTTCTTTCCTTAGAATTTGAGACACTTATATCTGCTGTGGTGTCCGTTCAGGGGCTGGTTAAAGACAAGCTGTGGATTTGCAGCTTTATCATTGTAATAGCAAATATCTCAAGCAGAAATACCCATTGTGTTCCATAAACCGAATATTCAAAATCTTCATTGGCTAGCTGGAAATACTGTCAGTGGGTTTACAGGCTAAAAGTCAGAGAAGGCTCTTTCCAAAACAGAAAAGTAAAAAATCCTCTTGGACCTATTTTGAAAGCCTTTGCTATTCTCTACATCTGCCACCAGGTGGTGCTCTGCCACACGGCCAAGTGTCTTCCTGGATAAAGCAGGTGTTCAATAACAATTTTCCATGCCCATGTGACAGGAATGAAGTACAATAGACGCTCATGCGGAGGATCTACTTTTGAGGTGTCTCTGGATGTACCTTCCCTCATCCCTCAAACAGGCTGAGCCGTAGGTCCCCAGCCCCTCACTCAGGTTGACAGGCTGTCAGGCTCTTTCCAGTGGATAGGCTGGGGAACCCAGTCCAGTCCATTTGCCAAGGGTAAGAATGCCCAGGCACCCTGTAACGAGGGGTAAGAATGGTGGGGTGTCCTAATTTATCAGAAACAAAGCAAAACCATAGCAACTTACAACAGACAGGGTGGGCCCCCAAGTAAACAATCCAATAACAGAGGTTCTGATTAGCAGGCAATTCTTCCTGAGGTTCAAGAGCCTGCTCCAGCAGCCTCATACTCATAGATCTACTGTATTTACAGGAGACATGGGCAGAGAGGGAGAAGCCCCTAGTCCTGGCCGTAGTCCCCAGATCTTACCACAGTACTCTACTCACGGCCTATGTATTCAGCATGCAAACGCCCCCAAGACTAAGAGAATGGAAGTGCATCACAGCTGGCAGACGGTTCTCCAACCAACGCTGCCCCATGCAGGGGTAGCCAGACGAACCCAGAATGCCCAAATTATACCCACAGGAACTGATTCTGATAGCTTACTATTGTCTAGAGCAATCTTTCCCCAAATCCCTTGATTTCAAGATCCACGAGGAGGCATATTTACAATGTAGTCCTCCGTCCTCACTCAGGACCCATGGGTTGGCTGGCCCTCTGCATGCAGGAGTGCAGAGCCCTAAGAGTCTGGGAAGTGTTGGTAAGGAGCGCCTCTGCCACCCCTAGACACTGGTGAGAAGCCAGACTAAGGCCTCAATGTTTGTGACCTATAGACTTCACCCAACGGAGACCTGTTCCTGAGCTAGCCCAGGAGCCCACGGTGCAGCTCAGCTGAGGAAAGGGAGTCCACACATCAAAGCAGAAGCTGAGATGCCACCGCCTCCTCCCCCATCAGACTCTGCCTGCACTGCCCCAACCCTGGCCACACACGGGAAACCCCCCAGGCTGGCCCATAATCAGGAAAACTGACTTTCATTTAAGGTAGAGATTGCCCTGACACTCTCCTTAGCAACGCTAGAGGGCAGCATTGAGTCCACTTTCAAACTTGCCAGTATTGGCTCCTGGATTCTCTGTTTTGTTTGCCTTTTTGTTCCTGCCATGGCACTGCATGGTATGACTCATGGGCTGTGGCAAGCAAAGGAACAAAGCAGCTGCCAGATGCCCCGGGCTGGGCTTCTCGGCTGTGGTTGAGACCCCAGAGGGGTGGGGCATTCTAAGCGGAGTGACACAGAGGAGAGCGGAACTCACTTGGAAGGTGAAATTGGGAAACCATCTCCCTACTTCTTCCTGTTCAAGATTCCTAGCAACACCCTTAGGAGAAGAGAGATGTGACACTAAGGATTCCATTTTCTGGGTACCCAGGACCCCTCGGGAACTCTCAACAGATTTTAGTACATCTGTAGATACGCACTCTCAGCCCACCTGGTCTCTGAAGCTAGTGTGCTTCTGTCCATATGCTTTGGGGTGAACCAACTCCTGAGAAACAGCAGGCCAGAGCCCCACCTAATCACCACCTCCATAGAGGGCTCCCTCTCCCTCACCTTTTAAACAGGCGGCAGCCCAGCACTGCCTTCATGGCCTCTGGTCCTACGTAGGTAAGCTCCCTGTGAGCAGGCTCGGGGGTCTGCAGCCCCCACCCCACCCCTAGTCTCGCTGCAGTAGAACTCAGCACATACCTTTCCTGACTTACAAACTCTGCTGTTCCCCAAGATGAAATGGAGGCAAGAAGCAGGCCACTACCAAAGTGGCCTCCTCTGGTACAGCGCAACAGCCTAGGTCTTTGCTGGGAAGTCACAGAAGCAGTCATGGGGCTTCTGTGTTTGTTTGTTTGTTTGTTTGTTTGTTTGTTTGTTTTTTCATCCTGACATGCAGAGGGGTCCCTGACCTATTAACGGAAAGAGACCCAGACAGTCCAGGTGATGCCCCCACCGGCTCTTCATCTACATAATGAGAAATTGTTAATGTGGTCGATTTTGAAACCTATGCTCTTAACACTCCTGGTACAGGAATTCTGTGTCTACCTTTTGTCTCCACGGGGTTGCCTGTCGCCGAGACAGCTAGCCTTGATTTTTCCTTAAAGTTCTGAGTTCTGCCCAGGCTCCCAGCCTCCTGGCAGGCGGGTGAGCTGCCTGTCACCATTCCTCTCTCTCTCTCTCTTCTGTTTCAGCCGTCATCCCCCTGACGGATTCGGAGCACAAGCTGCTGCCCTTGCACTTTGCGGTGGACCCCGGAAAGGATTGGGAGTGGGGGAAAGATGACAACGACAATGCCCGGCTAGCCCAGTAAGACCCGCTCCACAGTCCGGTCCCTAACCCAGCAGCCGGTGGGAGAGCCGGGAGAGCCGTAGTGGGGCTCCTGGTGGGGGTGGGGGTAGAGGGCAGAGAGAGGATTGCGTGGGCAGACGAGGGAGCTCATGCCACCCCCGGAGCTTTTCATTCAGTCCTCTTTTGTCAGCCTCATCCTGTCTCTAGAAGCCAAGCTGAACCTTCTACACAGCTACATGAATGTGACGTGGATCCGCATCCCCTCTGAGACCCGGGTGAGCCTCACGTGCACGGGAGCCCCATCCTTGTGATGGGGGGGGGGGGGAGTAGGGTGGCCGCTCTATGAAGCACTCCCCTCCCGAATGTCCATAGGTGGGGAGGGGACACACTGGCCACCCGCAGCTGCGGCCCAGAGGCCCAACCCCCTCATGTGCCAGGTTCCCTGTCCAACCAAAGACTTCCTGTTGGTGCAAGTGGGGGCGTGTGTGTGTGTACACGCAGTGTGTGTGTGTGTGTACATGCAAGTGTGCGCCCCGGTTAGGTTTTTCCCCCTCTTATTTTGCACAGCAGGAGAGGAATAACACGCCCACTCACAAAACAAACCGTAGGCAAGTCATAACACAAAACTATCTCTGCTGAGATCGGAACAAGATGTGCCGCGGCAGAGCAGAATTAATTATAACTGTGTGTGGATCCTTAGAAGAGCTGGGGAACCGACAGCGCTAGTCCTCAGTGTGCCCCCTCCCCTCCCCGAGGCGGAGGTGGCCGCAGGTGAAGCTGGCAGAAGGCAGAGAGCCGCCCACCCAACGCCTGCCTCAGGGGAACTATTGGGCGGCCCCTGTTTGCAGATGCTGAGAGATTCGTTTTAAGTCTCTGACTGATGTTTTCATAATCTCGGGAGGGAACTCCCAGGGAACGGGACTTGTGAAAATTGCGTATAAATAATTGGTCCTCCCTGACATCCGTTTACTTAAGCATCCAGCAGGCTCTAAGAACTGAAAGGAGGGACTCTGCTGTCTTCCCCACTGTTCTGAGGGCTCACTTCCCCTTCACCGGCACATCATCCGAGCAGGGCGCCCCCGCGTGGCTCTGATTCGCCGTGTTTCTGAGGGCACAAGGGACCAGGCAGTGGCAATTCCTGCCTCTCCCGTGCTGGAAGATGCCACTGTGCCCCAGGATGTTGCTCTCTAGAACCCACATGTTATGCAACGGCAGCAGCTGAGAACTATCAGAACCTTGCAGCTAGCTGGGCACATCTCTGCCCTACAATGAACAGTGTGCTTGGCCAGGCCTGGGGTGCGGGGTTGGGGTGGGGGTCCTGTTCTGCCTGCTATTGCTTCAGTGACCTAACCAAAAAGGGTCATCCTTCTGGAGCCTGTTTGAGGAAGGACAAAAATAAAGTGAGGAGCAACGGCTTTTCCGGTCTCCTCTGGAGACTTGTAACTTGTCATGGCTGGATAAAAGGAAAAATGGGGCCAAGACAAAGAATAGAGTTTGGGGCAAGGTGTCTAACCCCTGCTTAGAGTAAGTAGGTGAAACATCTGTGTGGAAGAGACATTGTCTCACCTGGTGACCTTTACCATTACACAGAGATCTGGAACCTGCTTCTAGTGGTGCCAGTAGCCTGACCAGGAAAGAAGGCTATAGTGTGGACCTGGTGTCTCTCTATAAAATATTCTGAGCCTCTGGAACTCCACTCCAGAGTGCTTATGGGCACTCTGACTCTACTCATCCACTCGGGATTCTAGACTAGTTATCTATGAATTCCAAGATAAAGTTTGTGCACAGTCCCTAAAAGGATGGCACCGAAGGTATGAGGTCTCTTCCAGATAACTTTGCCAACATCAGAGCTTGCCTTCCACTCTTGCAAAGATCAGGGCTCTGTGTAAGATAAACACATCCCTCTCTAGTAGACCCCATCGTCCCCCACCCTCACCTCCCAACAGCAGAGACTTCAAAAAGATTAAAAAAAAAACGCCAGTGTCCTGATCTCAGTTCCACCTGTGTTCTTGGGGCCTACACGGTGACACCTCTTTTTATAACAGCCTTCCTTTCCTGCCTTGCCTCTCCACAGGCTCCCCTTGCACAGCCAGAGTCTCCAACAGCCTCAGCGGGGGAGGATGTGCAGTCCCTGGCCGAATCACTGGACTCGGACCGAGATTCTGTGTGCAGCAATTCCAACAGCAATAATGGCAAGAACGGTAAGGACAAGGAGAAGGAGAAACAGCGCAAGGACAAGGACAAGACGCGCGCAGACTCCGTGGCCAACAAGCTGGGCAGCTTCAGCAAGACGCTGGGCATCAAGCTGAAGAAAAACATGGGCGGGCTGGGCGGCCTGGTGCACGGTAAGATGGGTCGCGCCAACTCTGCCAATGGCAAGAACGGCGACAGCACCGAGCGCAGCAAGGAGAAGAAGTCCAAGTCGCGCAAGGGCAGTAAAGAGGAATCGGGAGCGTCGGCTAGCACCTCGCCCTCAGAAAAGACCACGCCGTCGCCCACGGACAAGGCGGCGGGAACTTCGCCGGCCGACAAAGGCAACGGGCCAAGGGGCGACGCCTGGAAGTACAGCACGGACGTGAAGCTGAGCCTCAACATCTTGCGCGCCGCCATGCAGGGCGAGCGCAAGTTCATCTTCGCTGGCCTGCTGCTCACCAGCCACCGGCACCAGTTCCACGAGGAGATGATCGGCTACTACCTGACCAGCGCGCAGGAGCGCTTTAGCGCGGAGCAGGAGCAGCGGCGCAGGGACGCTGCGGCGGCAGCCAGCGCCACGGCCACGGCCACGGCCACAACCAAGCGACCGACGC